GATGTATTAAAATTGCTTAAATTTTATCCATCTGTACAATATTAAATCACAGTTAACAGATTAGAAATTTATTATTTAAACTATATTAGTTGATAAATATTTAATAAGACGGGAAATAGCCCTTGAATATCTGAGAGAAGAAAATATTACAAATTATCTCTTGCACAAATTTATCGAAAAAATTCAGCATGTTTTTTAATTTGGTTAAATTTAGATTATTTTAATTTCACTAACCAATAATTGATAACATTTTATAAATTTTCATAGATTTTTTTTTTGAACTTATTTTTTAGAACATGTAATTTCATGCATATTGTTTTATTTGAAATAGTTCTTTCACAAGCATTTCATTGCATAGTTATTAATAAGGAAATCATGCAAATGAATTGTGCAAGAATGTATTTTTTATTTGATTTTGTTCTTATTTTTTCCTTCGCCTTCAATTTCTCTCAATTTCATTTTATTTAATATAAACATTTTTCCCAATCTAATTAATAAAAATGCAGGAATTAATTGCTCAAAATATTTAATATCAATAAAAAGTTATTCAGTGCTAAATTGTTTCCGCAAAACTTGCTATCGTTTATGTATATTTTAGATAGATTTTTAAAATTGTAATGCTTGATAATGATGTCTGAAATTTGGTAAAACATTTTCAGATGTTGTTTAACAGATAATGGTGGAATTTTAAAATAATTAAAAATAAATTAAGCGAGATAGTTTGAATGATCGATTAATTAGTAGAAAATTATTCGCAACAATTGATAACTCTTTATAAAGATGAGCGTGACAAACTTTTTTCTTTCATATATTTTTCGCATTTTATTTCATCTCATTTAGATTATTTCATTTCTGATAGCATTAGAACTGTCAACGATGATAACAAGAATTTATCTACTGGTTAGCATCATTAATTTATTCATCTAAAAGCATCATAATCGATGTCAAATTGTGCTGTCATCCAATGAAAATATAATCGTCATATTAGCTTCAAAAATTAAATTTTGAACTTTTTTTGATAAATTCCGAATTTTATTCTCTTTGCATTTGAAAATGAAGATGTCAATAACTTTTTATGCTCGAAAAATAAAAAATTTCTCTAGAAAAAAAAAAAAATTAATAATATCACACACACCATTTTCTTTTCTTGCTATAACGATTTGATCCAAAACATTTTGTTACTTTTTTCCCTTTTTTAATTCTATCTTCTCTGTCGTTTTTTTTTTTGAAAAAAAAGAGGATTATTTTAGTGAGTTTTTTAAAACCCAGGGCTTAAAAATTGCAAATTTTATAAGAAGGAATAAGAAGGAGAAACTTGCGATTACAATAAATGATAAATGATTTTATTATCATTGTAAAATTAATCTTCCGTTAAAAAACAATTACTATTGATCAGATTGATATAAAAAAGCAATCAATTTCATACTAAAAATGAACGAATGCTTTTTTCACTGATTGTTAAAAATTAACCTTCTACTTTGAGTAATCTAAACATGATGAATTCTATTGAATTCATTATGATTGCCAATATACATACTCTAAATTTTCTCTCAATAGCTTATATTTTACTTATATTTTAACTTTGTTACATCATTAAAACTAATTTGATTGACTTTTTTTGTTCTTCTTTTTTGGTTTCCTTCTTTTTACAAATCAAAAAAGAGAGAGAAAGTGTGAGAAAGAGAAAGGAAGGGAATAAAAATGTGAAGAAAATAATAGAAATTTATGGAATTAATCCTCTCTTCACATTTCATTTCCTTTTATAACTATCTTTGTTTTAATAAAACATCTCCTAAAGATTTCATTTTAAAACTTTATACATTTTACATAACGGTATGCAATAAAATCGCTCCAAATTACTATAAAAATTTTTTTTATGGTTTCATTTTTAATAAAAAATTTAAAAGAAAGTTATCAATTAAAAATAAAATTTAATGAGAAATTAAAAGTTTATCAATTCACACATGCATTAAATAATTGGAAATTTAAATGGATATTGTTGGAACAATTAATTATCTTTCTTCATTAAAGCTCTTTGATAAACAATTTGATGGAGAAGGGAAGGAGAAAAAAAAGCAGAATTCATTAAAATGAGAAGAATAAAAAAGAAGGAAAATGAAAAATAATTATAGAAATTTCAGTAATAAATTAATTTTTTATTATCTATAAAGAAAATATTGGAATATTTAGTTGTACATAAAGTTATTAAATAATTTATGATATTGTCAAAATTTTATAGCTAATGAATTTTGAAGTTCTGATAAATTTTTTTTAATTAATGTTTTAATAAAATTTTCAAATTTTTGAATTGTTTTTTTTTTCGGAAAATTATAAATCAAAAAATTTGTATTTTAGCTTGCACCGTATGCGCTTCATTTCGTACTGGTCGTTGCCGTTGCCGCCTATGTTCTTGCGGGAGCATTAGCAATTCGGCAGCTTGAAGCTATTGCTATCAATCGAAATTCCACGGTTTCAAATACTTTTTTCCTAACTGTTTTATGATATATCAAAATTAAATTCATTATTTTAAATATTTTACGATATTATTTTTAAACATCTATTCTTTCTATAATTCATTCGAATCAAATAACTAAAGTTATAAATTTTGTTTTTTTTTTTCTCTTTCAAATTTTAAATAATCTTCTTGTATGAAGAAATGAAAAAACGAACTATCAATATTTAACCTTTTATCATGTTTACAGATGCTAATGAGAGATGGTAACATATTTCGTGTTGATGATAAACGAAATAAAATTAGCTTTATTGATCAAAATAAATGTATGCTTCTGTTTATAATCATTCCTTTTTTTTTTATTTTGTTTCATTCTCATTCTTAATGCGATAAATTTTTGATGAAAATAAGAAACAAAATTCAGATGATATCTTAGATTTTGATATTTATAAAATCTTCAGCAAGTTTTTGAAAAATGATTTCAATAGCCATAGAAATCATTTTTCAAGAACTTATTGAAGAATTAGCAACTAACCAAAATTTTTAAAAATTTTTCAAATGTACACTAATCAATTATATTTGCTATGGACGTGACATTATAATAAACAAGAAAAAAGGGAACAAAACGAAAAAATATTTTGAGAAAATTAAATATTAAAATATTTTGCATCATTTCCTGTAGTCGTGAATTTTCCCGAAAAACAAATCTTCCACACAGTTTTTATTCTCTCGAGAATTTTTTTTAGCTCAAAAAATTACCATTCTTTAGTGTATTGATTAATATTTAATGGAAAAAAGTACATCCTACGCTAATTTCATATTTCTGTTTTGAAGAAGACGAATGAGAGGGAGAGGGTGAGAGAGAAAGAGAGGGAGGGAGGGAGAGAGAAAAGAAAAGAAGGAAATAATGAAAGGAATCAAAATATAAAAATACAAAGTGGAAATTCTGATTTCAATTCTAACAAGCCATTTTAATTATAGTTTTTAGCAAGAATCATTAAGTCAATGTATCATTTTGAAATGTTAACAATGCAGAAAATCTTTAGTGCGTCCCAGGATGGAATGTATGATCGAAATGCTAAGACAAAAGGGTAATGCTAAAATCTGTGAAGAAGAAAAATTAAATGAACTAACCGATGATGTTTACAACACTTGCTTTGAAGAACAATTTTATGACAGTCGAAACGAAAATAAAATTTCACGAAATACCAGTCAGTTTTTATATTTCTTAAAAGTTCTTATTTGTGGTTTTTCTACTTTCAAGTTATCAAAAAAAGCGAATAAGTGATAAGCAGAAATTAAAGGTTATCAATGTTTTAGATTTCATTTTAAATTTTTACTTCAAAAATTCGATCGTTTAGTAGCATGATATTATGATTTGATCTACTGTAATTTTTTAAATTTAAATTCATCAGTTAACTTCTTCAAGCTCTAAATGTCTTTAAGTTTTAAATTTTGAATTTATTAAAGATACTGTTGGTACAAACGATGTCGATGATTATTTTTACTGGTCCCTCATGGATTCTATTGTTTTCTGCTTTACCGTAATAACAACAATTGGTATGTTTTTCATTCGATGAAAGAAAAAAAAAATAATTGAATGGGAGGAATAGAAAAGAAAAATTGTTATTTATTCTAAGAATTTCAAATTTCAAAATTGTAATTAAAGCACACTTCTAAAATTTTCTCCATCATTGCGATGATTTCTCAAATTTGATGATCCATAGCCAATCACTAACTATTTCAAACTTTTTATTTCAGAATAAAAAACCTTTTTCTTTTTGAATTCCATTTTTTTAAATACTAACATAGACAATCATTTATTTTATCGAGATTTGTGCAGTTATATTTTTTATTTATATACTAAGTGAAAATACACGTATCAATCTGATATCAGCGTAATATATTTTACATATCTCATACGTATGTTGTCAATATTAAATTCATTTAGCAAAATTTATCGACATTCCTTCTTTTTTTGATTTCTTTAATTTGCAGGATACGGTAATGTTGCACCAAAAACAATGCAAGGAAGATTGTTTGTTATAGCATACGGTGTCTTAGGCATACCATTTACAATGCTTGCTATTGCTAGCTTGGGCAAATTTCTGGCTGAAATTTTAAAAGGAATTACGCAATTATCGGCTCGATTGGTGAAGTAATTCTTTTTTTAAAAAAAAAAAAAGAAAAGAATTGTGAAATAAATTTTTTAAAAAAAAAAGCAATTTAAAAAAGGAACGAAATTGAATTTTAAACGTAAATATTGCCGTCAAATGTTGAAATGAATTTTCTTATTACAAGAAATTATACAGAATAATTAAATAAAATATGAGCAGATTAGAAGTACTGCATTTTAAGAAAGTTTAAAATGGCAAGTTTTATTCTCAATTTTTATGCATACTTACAATTTACTCATAACAATAGGTAACAATTATTTTGAGTCATTATAGTGGGACGAAATTGGATATTATGAATTCTGCTGTTTGATTTTTAAAAATAATACTGCTAGCGAAATCAAATAGAATTTTTAGACTGATGAAGAGAATTAAAAAATTTTGATCAATAAAGCGAGACAAGTTTAAAGTCGTTAAAATTGCTGAAATGAACGAAAACACATTTTGCAACTCTTTGATGGCTTGCTTAAATTAAATTTGTCGAATTTAATGACTTCGTTCAACTTTTATCTTTCAATTGAACATTTAAGGAAAAACAAAATTCAAGCTTCTTATAATTAAAATTATACAATTATTGTAAACAACTTACAGGAAAATTTTCTGCTGTAATAGCAAGCAAAAGCAGTTTAAGAAAAAGGAAGCTCTAATCAGTGATTTAAAGGATGATGATAACAAGCAAGTACGTTTTGATTTAGCGCAATTTTTTATGGATATATATTTAAATAACGAATTATAAGATTTCTTCGAAAAATTAAATATTCATATATAATATATCCATTGAAATATTTATAAATAAATAAACGAAATGTTGCCTGTATGTATTTGTCTTTGTTATTATAAAAGATCAATTAATTTCATTTCGAAGTAATTCTAAAATGAAGGAATAAAGATGAGCATATTACAGAAAATTTCAAATGATGACGATTTATCGGATAATTCTGAGGTAAAAAAGGTTAGCAAATATATTTCATCCATTGAATCATTTTATTGCTAAATGAACTAAAAAGTATCAAAAACAAACTTTTGATACTTGTAGTTTTGTTAAACTATGACATTTTGAATCCTCAGAAAAATGTTGAAAACATTAGAAACAAGCATTTTCACGGAGTTTTTTCCATGTATCATTTCATCAATTATAATTCAGTATTATGAAAATTTCAAAATTATGCATCTTTTTTTTATAGGTAAAAAAATGGGGCGAGGCATTGGTACTAATTGTGGCCTTTTTCATTTACATCATAATTGGTTCAATAGTTATTGCAAGCTATGAACCGGAAATGGACTTCTTTGGAGCCATTTATTTCAATTTTGTATCACTAACAACTATCGGTTTAGGTGATTTGGTGCCTAAAAAGTAATAGCTTCATTTTATTTTCAAATTCAAAATTATAAGTTATAAAGAGGAACACTTTGAAAATCAAAAATCATTCTTGGTATTGGAAAATCATCGTCAACCTAACCTTTGTTTGGCACGAAGCTGAATAAAAAGACAGAAAATACACTATGATGGATAAACGGAGAATATCGATAATTTTAACTGCTTTAAATTCCAATGATTTAAATCATTTAAGAGTCGATCAGTGGAAATTTTTTTTTTCAGGAATTTTAATACGATAATCTAGGAGAGAAACGATAAAGTTGCATGGAATTTATAAGATTATTCCAGAATACAAATAATTAATTAAATTATTTCATTTTTTTTTTAGTGAAAAATACCTGGTATTAACATTGATTTACTCAGCCGTTGGTTTAGCATTAACAACCATTGCTATTGAAATTGCTGCTGAATATTTGAAGATGTTACATTATTTCGGTCGTAAAATTGATAATGTTGCAAATGTACAAATTTGGTTTGGGGGCAAAAAGTAAGCCATTATATTTGTTTTACGCATTCAAAGAGATTTGAAATCATTTAATTACTTTCTTATATGGTCGCAAGTGATATCACTATTTGTACGTTTAAAAAGATCTTACTTTGCAAACATTACGAATAATTTGGCAACATCATATTGCCGAACATACTGTCAAACATGCTTAAGATTAATTAAATTGCTACATGCTAATCAATTAAAACAAACAAAAAATTACGCAAAATATATGCGACGATTACTGAAACGTTGAACGTAATTCAAATTCAAATCAATATGAGTATAAGCCACACTCGAAAATTTAAGTTGCAATTCTCAAACTAGAAATTGCAAGAAATAAAGGACAATTCAATTATATTTATCTCACGACCGCATTTTTACAAATCCTAAGAATCCGATCTGAATCACCCCTTTGCAGGCTTACAATGAAACAGCTAGTCCGGAACCTGGGTGACTATTTCGATTTACCAATAAACGAAATTGCCGATCTAAATCTCGACGAATTTGTTAATGCGGCAATTAAAGTAGAAGCAGGTGAACTAGATACTTTACGGGTAAGTTTCTCGATGAAACTTGCATGTTAATTATGTATAAGAAAAATCTTTCATATACATTGACGAAATTTAAATCTATCGTTCCTGACACAATGATTATAAAATCTACCAGAATATTTCCATAGAAAACTAACATAAATAATATACAATTTTCAGTGTCTACGACCGATCACTGTCGACATTGAATCGATAATATTTGCAGATGCAGATGAATCATATATGTCGAAATAATATACACAAATCTATCATTGATATATTCAAGACTCAAAGCTTTATTCAAGACTGTATTCAAGACTCAAAGCCAAGAACTGAGCTTTTATTGAAAAAAAAATTGTAGAAAAATAATAGTGTTTGATCTCGTTCGAATATATAAAAAGAGGATCAATACATATCCTCTTTTTATAATTACAGAAATTAGTAAATATTGTTATAAAAGGTGTCCATTTATATTATTTAATTTATAAGATCTCAGCAAATTAAAAGCCGAGGAATTCGAAACTGGCAATGAAACGCATGAAAAAATTGATGTTTTACAAGGAAATCGATATGAAACAGCGAGCATGTAATAGAATCCATAGGAAAAAGCTTTTTGGATCAGCTAGAAGCTTAAAATAGAACGGCGAATTCAGGAAATAAATAGAAAGACCGAGAGCGGGAAAAACGATTCAGAATCACAAAAAAAATATTAAGAAATGTACGTGCCACAATTCAAAAAAAAGTCAAATAATTTCTATACTGCATATAATATAAGTTATTATTGTAATAATTCCAATAAAATTTCCGAACAAATAATTCCAATCCTCATATACAAAAAAGATAGCTATTTTAATTTTCAAAAAAATGGAATCCGATTTACTGCATGAAGATCATCGAAAATGAAAAAAATGATAGCTAAAATGCTAACAATCATTGCAATAAAAAAGGAAAAATAGAGGAACAACATATCCCTTTCAAACATTATTAATAGCTTTACCACAAAATGCTTGTAAGTTGGCTTCGCGGAACGCTTCTGACAGTGTCTAAAAATTATAAATTATTAAACTAACTGAGATAAAAACGAATTATGCACATCAAACTAAGAATTCCATAAAAATTAGTAACCTATACAGATGCAACTAGAAGGGCTCTTATACTGAAGATACCAGTAATAAAAGCGCACAAATTCATAATTAAATGGTCTGCAATCTTTCATGAAAAAAGAATGAAACAAACAGGATGTGGATGACAAACTCGAGCAACATCTTCACAGGAGGCTCCGTATTCTAAGGCTAGGGTTGCTTCCGCAATCATTTCACCAGCATTCTGTAATGATTGAAAGGATTTTATACAAAACGAAATTTAACAAATCAACAATAAAATTCAATGATCCCCCAAAAATGGACGAATATTATTTCCGGGAATTTGCCTCTGGATGAATTAAAAGATGTTTCACGAATAGCGTGAAATATAAAGATGAAGATATAAAAAAGGAAAAAAAAAGTATACAAGCATACCGGCCCGATTATATGAACTCCCAATATTTTATCCGTTGTCTTGTCTCCTAAAATCTTCACAAATCCTTCGGCATCATTATTTGTTTTAGCTCGTGAATTTGCCATAAATGGAAATTTGCCAATTTTGTATTGCACATTCTAAAAAAAAAGGCCATTTATTAATTACTCCAGCAGATAATTTAAATAGAATATTTAACCACCATAAGAAAAAACTGCTAACTTCACTCTTCAACTGTTCTTCGGATTTTCCGACCCATGCAACTTCCGGATGGGTATAGACAACCGACGGGATGCAGTCGTAGTTCAAATGTGTTGTACCACCTGCTATACCTTCAACGCATAAAATTCCTTCATCCTGAAGTTTTAAATTGCTAGGTATAGTTTCAGAATTTGAGTGTTCTCTGAAACAAACAATTAACGTTGGTATCATATTTCTATGTCGTCAGTACATATTGGCTAGCCAAGGTACAGATAAAAACTATAAAAACTACCTCAAGGATAAACAAATCGCTCCACAAGCAAGTGGGCAGCACAATTTAAAACATGGCTACGTTTAAATTTAGCTATACCGATTATATAATGCTATAAACTCGCTAAAATTACACCAAACAGTAGAACAAAGTTTCAAATGAACACAGAATTTGTCTTTGCAATGACATACTTCCCGACTTATAAGAATAACCTGAAGCTTAAAATAGATAAGTTTACTTCCGCTTTATGTGCCAACATCGGCCCAGCAATTACATCACCAATTGCAAATATTGATGGAACCGAGGTTTGAAAGCGTTCATTGACTGGTATACGTCCCCTTGAATCCAATTTTATGCCAACATTTTCAACTCCCAGTCCCTCTGTATATGGTCGTCGGCCAATCGCAACGAGAACAGTATCTGCTTCTAACTAAATCAAAATATTTTTTAGTTCATAAACTGAAAACTAAATTTTTTAATCTAGTAACACGATTTGATTTTTGAAAACCACAAATATTATCGTCACAGTGTGAACTGTCTCTCCGAATACTCTAATCCTCATAAGTCAAAAAGAAATGCACGTATAAGACATACATGCAAAGCAAGCATCAATATATAAAATATGAATATTACGAATTAGTTTTGCAAACTACAGACCAAGCTAACAACTGATGAACTAGTCAGAAGTTTTCGATAAATACAAGGTGCAAAGAAATCCATACCGTTTTCGGATTTCCACCTCTTGCATTTTCTACATTTATTTTAACCAAAGTTCCTTCTTTTCCACCTCCTGTTACCTTCGTATTCATCATGAATTTCATTCCTGAAATGACTTGTAATTTATTAGCCTAAAAATAAATCAACACAATGCACCTTGTTCCAATAAAATATATAAAAATCACCTTGTTTTGCAAGCGTTCTTTGGAAAAATTTTGCAATTTCCATATCGATACCCATCCCACCAGCATGTCCAAGAAATTCGACAACCGTTACATCAGCTCCTAATCGTTGCCATACACTTCCCTAGGGATAGTGATATAAATTATCCAATAGTGTAGAGAGATTTTAATTTGAAGTGTCATTTGACCCACCATCAGAAAGCTAAATTCTTCAACTTTCTTTCCACTTCTTTCCTTAATACTCGTTTTTTTATCTTTCCAAAGTCACATTTTTATTTTAAAAAAATCAAAATATTTACCAATTCAGTACCGATGACACCAGCACCTATTACAATCATTTTCTCTGGTACTTTCTTCAAAGACAATGCACCCGTTGAAGAAACAATCTGAAATAGAGAAAAAAAATCCTTTTACTTTAGTAACTATTAAGTTGGCTTTATCTCCGCTTTCCTACATAAAAGTATAAATAAAGACAACTATTGAGTTAAAAGAAAAATCATCACACTTCCTAACAGTAATCTGACCTATTAACTCTAAATTAACTGCGATCATAAGTTATAAATCGGCAAGTTAATTTGTTAAATTTAAATAACTAATTTCACTTAGGGAGCCAAAGTAAGTAACTTAACTTTAATGTGTTGAACGGACATATATAAAGATGATTAATCCATTATTTCTAAGGGTCTAACTGGTACTCAAGCTCTACATCATGTAAGTAGTGATTCAACTGAACAGCAAAAGTTGGTGCGAAAATATGTATTACTACGACATTAAATCTAAGGCAGAAGAATGTGAAGTATAAACCTGTTCCTCATCGATAGACAAAGCTGGGAAAGGAGTAACTTCGGAACCTGACGCAATAATTATATTACGTGTTGTAATCTTTTCTTCGCCACCTCCAGTAAGTTTCACAGTAACCTAAAATTTATAATTAATTTTGTAGGTAGGTCTTTAAAAACAATAGCAACATACTTCGTTTTTGTCTGTAATCGTCGCTATTCCATTGACTGCTCTCACTTTGTTCGCTTTAAACAACATCTCTATACCACCCGTCAAAGCCTTCACTGATGCTGCTTTTGCAGCCATCATTTTGTCCAAATTCAGTTTCGGCTCAACTTCAACACCTAAACTGAGATAACTCTTATCTTTCGAATTTCTAACCGCTATTTTCCAAACAGCACTTTCCACCGCAGTACAACATAAAGCTGTCTAAAGAGGAAATTGTCAGTTATCTTGTCGTTCATCCCAATTCAATTTTTAAGATTGTTACATAACATAATTTTTTTTCGAGTAATAATCAAAAGGAAATTGGACATGAACCCATCGATAATATAGAATAAATAACTTCCGACACTACACAGAAACTGAAAACTTCATTTACACTAAATTTTTAAAACGTATACATTTTAAAACCATTGAAGGCAAAAGTGCAACATAGAACTAGGATATGTAACTTTTATCTTAACAAGATTTTACAACTGTCAGGATAGAAAGAATTAGATTACAGAAAGTATTTCGAGAAGTTTACATTAGCCGTTTTTCGCAATATATTCTAATCATGCGGATAAACTGTCCACAAAAACAAACTAACCTCGACTATTGAATTCACCGTGTTTGGCCATATGATAATACAATGAGTTATTCAACAAAGATTTCGATGGTATGCATCCGACATTCAAACAAGTACCCCCTAATTTCGGATTCTTTTCTACACATACTGTATTTATACCCAGTTGAGCTGCTTTAATTGCTGCTACATAACCACCCGGACCAGCTCCAATAACTACTAAATCTATATCTGAAACAATATTGCTCTGATTCATCAATTTAATTATTCCTTTCCTCTCCTTTTTATTGTAAATTACAAGCTTGCGCTCGACTTGATGAATTTTGGAACTTTCAAACTATTTTACCAGCTGTTAGGTATCTCAAGACATGAAATAACATTAAATTTATGAATAAAAAAACTTGATTATATAAGAAAAAGGAAAAAAAAAAGGTTACCATTAGCTACATAAGATCGAGCATTAACAACGAGCAATGGAAAGTTCTTCCAAATAGGTCGAACAGTTTTCCGATAAAACATATTAGACCTGAAATTTATATCAGTTGAATATGACATTAATTTTATTTAATATTAAGACTTAAAGTTCACGATGAAATCCCCTCAATACCATTAATAATGCAATAAGAAATCAATACAATTAATAATGCAATAAGAAATCAACTATAAATTGTATGTACCACTCATTAATTCTCTCTTCAATCAAATCTTATATACTAAACTTTACCACTTGATGTAAATAAAAAACTTTTTGATTAAATTTATAATTTTGAAGAAAATCTCCATTATCATCACTTTGGGAAAGCTTGTTCTGAACTATTTACATATAGATCTGATATGCAAATCATCTTCAACACTCAAGTTGGCTAACGGTGACAAACAGCATAATATATGATTCGAACAGAACAATGTTTTAAAAAGCAAAAAAAAAACACACACACACAGGAAATTTTCAAAAGAACAAACACAGGGGAGCCGTTTTTCACAGTTTTCTCACTGTTATACAACAGTTCAAACTTTAAATTCTTCCTTGAAACAATTTTTTCAGAATGACAATCGGTGATTTTAACTAAAACATAATTGCTATCAGGTACGTGTTTGCTATACATGGATGCATATATCTATTCGAAATCATTAATTTCCCATTATTTTTTCCAATGTTGCAAGCTTTTCCTCGTCAGAACCGCAAAACAAAAGCTATTTTTTAATCATTGGTCAACTATTTCCACTAGAATTTTTCTTGCTTCATCCTTGAAATCATTACTAATCGAAACAAAAAATTGTCTTCGCTAGCAAACAAATCAGTTTTTGACCTCCTAACATATTTCACCACTCTCTGCTTTATTTAAATTTATCTTCAATGTCTGAGAAAAAAACTACTGATGAAATCTCTATCCCACTGCATACATTTATCATCTTACTTTTTTTTAATATTAGCTGTTTTATAAAACGTTTAACCTATCAAGACTAGTGGTATCTTATATACTCAAAATCAAATGCATAATATAAACTGATATCCAGTGGAACCAATATGAAAAATGTCTGCCCGATCAACACCTCAACAATTTCGCAATGAAATGTAATTAAATAAGACGAAATAAATACAGATTTTGCATACTAAACAGATTATAACACCTTTTCGAAAAAAAAAAATTATAAGAAAAAATGAAAAAATTTTCGCATCAAACTATGAAAATTAAAACTTTGTCAAAAAAATCAAGAAAATGTTAGAGAAGATTGAGGCGATACGTTATGTTATGTTAAACATACCACACAGAATTGCTGACATCTCTCAGTTCATCAACAACGAGGCTAGAAAGCATTACCAGACGTGATAGCTCGCAATTCCTAACAAAACATCAAATTATTTTCGAGAAAAAAGAAACCTATCAATCTACCGATCAATCTGACAAAACAATACAACAAATGAATAGCAAAATAACCTTGCATTATAAGTAATTTATCCGTCACTACTGATAATTTATAGATTTTGAAAACCGTTTTACGGATAAGATTTTCGACTATCCTTAATTTTGAACTATATTTTTAAACTATATTTTGATAACACTCATCACATTCTTAAATAAAAAATATTTGACAAGCTTCTCAATACTTTCAATTCGTGTTGCTGAACTTTTCCTTTCTTTTTTATAAATTTTATTGATACTAACTTTTAGAATTTTCTTCCATAAGTTTTGTTTTTGATTCAAAAGTACTGCAACAGTTTCATTCTTTTATCTAGCGAAATATTTCCAAATTTTTTTTCAAATAAGCAATATGCAAAGTTCAAATGATATTCGAAGAATATGGAAACAAATAATGCAGTTGATAAAATAAAAGAAAAACAAATTTTTAGACATTTTCATAGCTATATTTGATGAAGAGAAAAAAAAAATGAAATCATAACACATTCAGAATTACAAATTCGAACATCGCTTATTGTTTATTTGATTAAAACTGGAAAAAGAATGAAACTTGCAATATTTCTAAATTGAAATATAATTTCTGATCACAAATGACGTCAAAAGTTGGCATCAATAAAATATTGAAGGAAAAAAAAAACTCAATAACTACTGATTCATTAAACTTATAAACAAAAACATTACAGATAAACATCGATGGAGAACTACAACAACGTGAATGTACGTGAATTGCATAAAATGATAACAATAATTTCATAATTATCAGAAAGTAACAGACAGCATACATTCAATCTTCAAAGACATTCTTTATCCTTACAGTTCATCAAAATATAGTAAATGCTGATGAATCATTTTTAGCTTTTTTCCTTAAATCTTCTTAAGCAATTATTAACATTCAATAATGAATCCGGAAAGTAACCGGAAACAGACTCCAGTGATTATGACAGTTGAAAACAAAAGCTGAACAAAATCCATGAACAAACCCTGTACCCTTGCAACTTAACAGTCCCACGTAACTTGCTGACGTGAACTATGCAAATCATTGTCCTACGTGTATTTCACTCCTGTCATCTGCTGCAGCACTATTCATTATATCTACATGTGGTCGTATGGTTGTTGGTTGTATTCTGTGTGTAAATGGTACCCATCAATAGTTCTTCGTTATCATTGGTTGGAGAGTACGCTTATCAGTTCATTGATCACTCCCAAAACTATTATGCATTTCACACGAGAAGTTGCATGCAATTATGGTTGAAATTTTTTATTTATGTATGCTTTTTCATAATAAATCTTCAATAATGACGTAACATTTTACCTCATTGCTATGTTTACCTTACATTTCAATCTTTTGCTTTATTATTGAACCAATTTTATTTGGTTATTGCCAAATTTCATTCTCACATTATACATCGCTTCATTTCTTTACGTATGTTACTTTTGTAGAAATTATTCGGATTACTACAACAGAACTCTCGATATAATACTGATTATTTGATGTTATTGTTTAAAATATCATTTCCATTTACTGCATCATCATTTTATTTTTAGTGAATGTAATTCAGATTTTATTTTAATACTACCATTCTTCTTTTCTGAGTTTTAGAAAGACGAACATTGAGAGAGGACTGATTATTAGAGATATCTATGAAATATGTTAGTCAAGCAATCTTCGATATATATGGAATGATTTAGAATATTATCCTGAATACATATAGTTTTGTAAAATGATTTAAAATAATTACCCACCCTAAATGTATGGAAATTTTTTAGGACATTTCAGGATAATAATTTCCTAGTACATGCAATTTTCGTGAAATAATTTTGGGTTAAAAGTTTTAATTTTTGATTCAAGTAATATATCAGGCAATCTATAGGTTGCAAGAAGTTTCGTTATCGAATTGCTAGAATCTTCGATATGATTGCAAGTACCTATAAATTTTAGACGCGAAGAGGAGTTGATGAGTGATTTGGTGAGCAGTATGATTCGTAAACAGCATCCTACACGAATGATAGTTTATAATCGAAATTTACGATGTGTTGATCCTGGTGATATTAGTGGTAGCGGTAAGTTATTTGGATGTCTTTGCTACTTTGTAAAATCCTTCACTTTTTTTCGGAAACGATGAAGGGCTTCATAGCTTTCATATGAGGCTTTTTAGTTTTGTCTCCATTTATTAAAGATTTAAAGTACCACACTTCCATCTCACAAACTTATACACGTGGTCATCGACACATATAAAGCCACTCACTTTCTATTTTGATGTTGAGATTGAATCTCCGCGATTTATAGTTGCACTGACTGTTTTGACCTCATATTATTATATCAAAATCAGGCTTTGTGAAGACATTCCACTGAAAAAATACTTTCCTTAGCTTCTGTATTTTATATAATTGAATTGGCTTGAGAAGAATACTTAAGAACTGTATCAGGAAATGGTGATAGATGCGAAAATTCACGACGTGGTCGTCAAAAAAACGGCTCGAAAAAGAGTAGTGTTGGAGCAAGAATGTCTAAAGGTAATAATGATTTTGGTTTTTATCATGTTCAGTAATATCAAAATTTTATTTTGTCTAACAGTATCGAGATTCAGATTTTCCAAACAAGACCTCAAAATTCCTGTGAACCATGACTGCATTAACTTAGATTTTAGATCATGTGTAAAATTTCGAGTCATCTTTATCTGATTCACTTGTGGTAACAGTTGCCTTTTTTTCAGGATCAACCAATGAGTCTTCAGGCTCTCGAACCAAAAGTTCCGTATCATTTGGTCCACCAATACCTGATGATATTTTGGATGATCTGTGCTTCCGATTTCTTATCAATATCCCAGATGATCAGGTAATTTATACAATACCTTTGACGAGCATTTTGCTTCCTCTCTATGTTTATAAAAAGTGGACGGTTCTTCTGGCCCAAACAATTCAATGTCTTGCAGAAAAACGCTCCGGTTCGGCTCTGCTTTCAAATCGAATTGGCACATTGGTTTTATATAGATTTTTATTGCAAAGGGAATAATGCACATGTAAAATGTCCTGAAATAAGCTTGAGAGATTTGGTCGGGTGAGTAATTTTATGCTGAGTGTAAAGTGTTATTTTAAGGTTATTTATGGTACGATCCTCCATGTGTAATTCGCATGTCGTATAATTCTTGAAATGTCAGCGTTCATTTTATATTTATTTGATTTTGCAACATTTCCGTATTCTATACTTTCTCTTTTAGGATAATAGGAGGAAAAAAAGCAGCATTCAATTATAGATATGACTTGTCATCGTGTTTTATTACTAACTGTAATTTCGTTTAGGCAGATATTCAGTCATTGTGATTTCCTTGTCCAATATGCGGATAGCGTCGATAAGGTAATTTATAATCGTCGGTTTTTGACTTTCATAAGCTTTTTTTATCATTAAGTTTTCTAGTGATTAGTAGTGCTTCTAAAACTCTATTTACTGGAAATCTGATGCAGGTAATGGAAGAATGGCGTATTTATAAGTCTGGCGTACCAACATATGGTGCTGTGCTCTTAGATAATTCATTGAATTATGTATTATTGGTGCAGGGATATTTTGCAAAGAACAGTTGGGGATTTCCGAAGGGGAAGGTTCGTTGATTTTTGAAATTTTTAAAATTTTGTTTTGTATCCAAAACATTTTGGTGGTAGCGTCAGTTGAGGGCAAAGATTAAATTTTATCAGATATGTGAAGGATAGGGTAATAAGTGGCATTAAAATATGTATGTAGCACAAAAATATTCTAACAAAAAAGCAACAGAAGTAATTTCTCACTGAAAGATTTGAATCGTCTTTCAAGATGCATCACGAAACAGACAACAATGTGAGAGAATAGATTAGTTAGAAGAAATCAAACCATCTTTCCTGGACTCATTACAACAGAACATGTTAATTGACGGTTATATGATTATTTGAACAAGAGATGACTAGAAAATCATCCAGGCTTCTGCATACCTATGCTTATGTATGTATATTTTGTGTGGTGTACTGCACATGACCGGGTTAGTTTCATGAGAAGAACTGAAAAACGAATTTTATACGACTGGAAAAAGCGCGGACTAATTGATATATTTTCCGAAAATGCATCGAAAGATCTACACGCATCTGTTGTGCATTATCTCTTATTATTAAAAAGCTATATGACAAAGGGAAATGGGAAATTAAACTGGAACTAATTTATCGTAATGCTAAAAAGTGAACTGAGATAGGAGCTCATTGAACCGCATCACATGTATCTGAACTGCTGTTATACTGAGTTTATTATTAAGTTTAATGAGTGATGTAGAAGGGTTAATATTTGGCTGAAAATTGGTCTTACTATGCGTTTATTTCCTGCAGTAAGGGAAAAAGTACTGAGTGATGCGCCATAAGATAAATTGAGAAATGAAATGTGCGATTTATTTGGTATATCTTTCCTAAATTACAAACAAACAATAATTATCTTAATCACTAAACACTAAAATAATCAATCAGATTAGCTTAATATTGTGCAAGCACTCTTTAAATAAGACAGATAATTGAGCTGGAATTTGAGCTTTTTGATAATTTTCGATTTCTGCTATTTCAAACCATGCAAAATTTCATGAGGCGAATGGCAGTTATTGGTATTTGTAACAATTTTACAAGAAGTAAAAAGTAATGACTTTATATAAAGATCATTTCGCGCGACCGAAGTTGTTCATCTTGAAATACAGAAAACGACTAGCATTTATGGGCTTTAGCTACTGACAGTTTCAAATAAGATTTCTTTGTACGAACATCAGTTTCAATGAGATTTAGATTCAGCTGACATTTAGATTAGAATAATAAAGCTTGTCAAGAATACAAGTCTAAAGCGACGTAGAAATAATGATTCATTCTGTGTATGGTAGCAAGTCATCGGTAAGGGAAAAAGAATTTTTGCTAAACGGTTAAGATTAGAACTGGCAATTCTTTAAGGTCGCGTGATTAAAATCATAAGGCATTAGAGAAGAGGTTATCATTTGTGTGCTTGCACAGTTTAAGTGGGAAAGATTTCGTCATTCATGAAAGAACTAAACAGTGAGCCAGGTAAAAGAAAAAACAAATCTACTATTGTAACTAAATTCATTTAAGGTAAACGAAGAAGAGGAAGCAATGGCTTGTGCTAGTCGAGAAGTAATGGAAGAAGTGGGTTTTGATATTTCTGACAAAATTTGCAAAACACGTTTGATCCAGTGTTTTGTGAACGATACTTTAATACGATTGTATATAGTACGCGATGTCCCCATTGATTTTCCATTTGCTCCTAATACTCGAAACGAGATAGGGTACGTATTTCATGGATTTTTTAATGATTTATCACTGTAGGATTTGCTGGATGATTGTGTGAAGAAGCAGAATATTGCTATTTTCCTGAGTAGAGAAAAAGGACGAATTTTCAGTAAGATTCAGTGGTTTTGTATTTGGGATTTACCGAAGGATCGAAACGATATCTCCACGTGTGAGCGAATTGGTATGTCTCCAAGTAACTTCTACACTGTGATTCCGTTCGTCAAAGAGCTACAAGCATATGTTTCCAAGTATCATAACACGCACAATAAGCCGAGATATAAGGTATATAAAGATGGTTTAATTTTTGATATTTAATCAAATTTTATGTTTTCTTACATTAAAAAAAATCTTCCTCCGGAATATGCGATCATTAAACTTACGTATCAATAGGTATTGGGAACGGAGGACCTTGAATAAAAAAATGTTTTACGTGCTCGGTCTCTCTGTAATACTGAAAATAATGTTTTGGGAATGGAATGATGTTTGTGTTTTCTTTTTGCAGCAAATGGATACGATAAATATTAGTACACGCTCATCTAGTGCATTCAGTCCAGTGCAGCCTCAGCGTATGTTCCTTTTTTTTTGTAATAAATTTTTAATTTTTATGTATTTAAAAAAATTTCACCATCACTTTTATTACTACTTTCATACTATTTATTTGCATATCTAAAGTTACTAATAGTAATCGTAAATTGATACAACTTTCAGTAAATGGAAAATTCAGCTTTTTATTCATTTCTTGTTACAGTGACAACGATAACTTAAATTACTGGACAGATTAAACGAAATAGTTTGACATTTATACTTATCACGAGATCCTTGTATGTGGAGCTTTATATTGCATGCAGCTCTCCCGTTACTAAAAGTACACCAATATCATTACCAGTTGTCGTAATAATAATAGTGCACTATTACTCAGCATAATAATTTGCACAACATTACTGTACTGATAATTTTTTCTTTTACTTTTTCTGAACAAATTCATTATATAGAGAAGAATGAAATGCTAGCACCAGCACTGAGTCCTTTATTCAACACGAAGGCTTCAGCAAATATGAATCGTTCAGTGGTTTCTCAGCATTCTTCTCAGCATGCATCACCAAACTCAGCATTTTTCAAGCCGTTGACAGCATCTGCGCAGCACATTTCATATACTGGTACTGCCTTTGTGCAGATGTTATCCGGCGCTTCCTGTACGAGTATCGAAGGTACACATCATTTAGAGCGTTGTTTGATTCTTATAGTTTTCGGATTTAGCCGGGACAGTTTTGCTAGGATTATCGATGATGTTATTTAATTCTTCCTACCGTTAACACTTATCTGTTTTGGAACAGCATTAAGATGTGAATGAGAAAAGTAATTTATATATCGGTGCTAGCTTCCATACTTAGTTTTAGTAACAAATTATGCGAAATCTCCAGAAAGAGTGAAAATGAAAGAAGTGACGAGACCAGTACCAACAGTTCCAAAAGCAGCCATGCCAATACTTGGTCGTCCAGTATATGATGCATTCAGAGATGAAGCAGAAAAAAAGGTATATGAATGAAAACTTCAGCACTTTTTTTGGCGTAAAGCTTTTCCCAAACCTTCGACTTAGGAGATGCTACGTGTATGTTGGACGAGAAGTTCTAGTAGGAGGAGTTATGGACATTGGCCACTATCGTTATTAGCTCTTAAAATAGACTATGAATTGAGTACTGCAGAATCAACTTTGCATTTGCATGAATGCTCTTGTAATGATGGCTTCATATTCATTGTATTCAATTCATATATTTAGTTGCAGACGGTTGCATCCTTACAAGAACCATCGCATAAAACATTGCCGAGTAATATTCTTCTTCATCATGGAATCACAGACACCAAAGAAGTGATCAGTTACCCAACTGATAGCAGCGGAAAAAAAACTGTAGAATGTGACTACAATTTGCTAGTGAAGAAGCGTATCTCACCATTGCATCATAATTCAGGGTTTGTTTTTATTTGGCTAATAAAATTATAGAGAACAAATTTAAAAGAATTGGTCATCGGTAACTTATTTTGCAATGTCTGCATATTTGCTATTCTTCAATCATTTTTTAAAATCGCACTTCTTAGGGTATGACTTTGAAATAATGGAAGCATTAGTTAATGCATGTTTGTGGACTTACTGGATATTAAGATTAAGTAATTCTTTATTCTTAATTGTCTTAATAACGGCTTTGTCTGTCAAATAAAATCTTTTGCAGAGAAGACTTAATAAAGAATTATTTAAAAGAAGGTGGTTGCTTGAAAAGCTCCAAGATTTTGATGACGAATCATATGACTGAAGACAGACCACTCGTTAATTTGTGCAAAGCCTGGAAAAATTTTAAAGTTGGTAACTTTTTGTTTTAAACTAACATAAGATTTCGGATGGATATGATTTTCTGATTGAAATTTAAGTCTTTTTTTTGCAAAATCATGTTGATACTGGATATTCGTATGTCTATTTATTATGTAGTTTTGCATATTTTAAAGCAAAAAGACCAAAGACGTTATTAATAGGTTATCATTAATGAGCTGTTCTTTCTTGGGTTAAGGAACATTGTCTACCTGGTAGTGGTATCCTTGTTTAAAGATGCATGTATTTTCAGTTTGATGTTTCGCGATTATTTTGAAAATGATGCTCATATGAAACGCGCCTAGTATTGAAAACATATTTCTCAACATGAAAAATTTGTAGACATCACTATCTGATATATTCTCCATCAAGTTTATCGGATCTCATATTGACTGTTTAGGCAATTAGTATGAATGCTTAATTTTGATGTGATAAACGAAGGGTGCCTAACTACTTTTGGTCTAAGCTGCTAATTTAATTTTTCAGTACTGAAAATCGCAAGCACTAATTAATGCATGCTTGTGAACTCACTGGATGTTAAGATTAATTTTTTATTCTTAATTGTCTTAATAACAATAATTGTTTCATAAGGTTGTGCACTACTGTACTAAATAAGTTATATGTAAATGCGATAGTTCATCAAAATTTATTCCTGCAACTATATCTGAATTGTCATTGTCTTTTTGAAAGATTATTTCTGCAAGTAACAATTTAATATGTTGTAAGTTATATATATATA